CCCATCCAATTCCCACTCCCCCCTCCAGGGTCTGCGTTGAATATCCCGCGGGTCAGGACATAAATGATAGAAGTTCTCGCTTCATTCATTTATGTCAAAGGTAAAATAAAGCTATTTTTTACTAAACACAGGTGAAAGCAATCCCAATCATACCAAACTGCCCAATGCCAAGGTACATAAAATACTGCACAACTATTTTGTGATTACAGAAATCCAACGTGAGTCCAGTTACCATATGTGTTATTTTCCAATGAAAATTTTCAATCTGTAGAATTTCATAACAAAATCACTCACAAATAGATTCATTTAGTAACAAACTGGCATGCATGTTACATGCCGACATATCCAACTAAGTGATAGACAAGTAGCTACTTTCAGTCTTCAGTGTAAAATCACGAGTCTAATTTTAGTATTCTCTCATTGGCTACGCATTGAGAAAAAGAAAGGGAGCAAGGTGTGAGAAAAGAAAAGAGGAAAAGAGAGAAGGGAGAGAAAATGGAAGGAAGACCGGACAACGGAAAGAGCTTAAAATTCTGTCCACTAACATTAATTCACTGTCATTATTACAGACTTGACAATTACTGATTTGTCATTTTTAGGTTAAACCAATGTTGGTGTTGGCAGGGTTCCCATGATCCCTTTTGCTTTGAGAGAAATGTTGCAATGAGCTCCCTTTATCACCCCCTCCCACCTTTTGTTAGATTTGAATGACAAAGACACTAGAAGAAAAATGACGCCAAATACCCCATGTAATCACGCTATGTTATTTTGAAAGTGGCATTGCTGAGATTACTTCTAGCCAAACAAATTCAGTCCTGGGTATATAAAAAAGGGGTGTTCAGAGAACCACTCTCCTATGCAGAAGTTTTAATATCCTTGCACATATCTTAAGATCGGTGCACATTCCCCTGTTTGACGAGTCAGAATTTAATTTAAGATTAAAAAACATGCTTCATTTGTTAATTCCACATTGTCTCTGAACATCCACTTGGGAGAAACCACTGGTTTCCACTGATGACATTCTTGTTAGGAATTCCCATTTGCATTTTGGGTCACGATTCTAACTTACCTGCTTTTGTCATTGGGCAACTTGTTATAATGGAATCGGTGCAGAGATAATGGAAACTCTCTCAATAAGGTGACAAATCATCTATCATTTTAAACACTCCCCCCCCTCAACCCCCTACCCATTCCCCTCCTGCAAAAATAACCAGTTTATCTGGTTGAGATGAACTTAATTTTATGTAAAAGGTGAAGATGGTAAACTACATTTGAGCAGGCGGCATAAACCAATCACAATCTGCTATGCAGAAATGACTATAATTTATTTATAAAACCTCTCTTCTGTACTGCAAAACTACAAATTGTAATATGAAACCTTTTAAAAAATAGAAGATATGCTTCTTATGCTGATTCAGGACTGTTTTTTGTTAGTATTTTCATAATTCTTTATTTGCCATCATTTGGAACGAATTTTCATTTAATGACAAAAATAATTCCTTTAATAATCCAATATTCCATTGCACCTTACTTAGAATTGTGTACTATGATTATTAAATCAAAATTATCTTAATGGTTTAACTTACCTTCTTTTTTGTTTTGTTTGGTTTGGTTTGGTTTGGTTTGGTGACTGGCCAGTACAGGGATTGAGTCCTGGACCTTGGTGTTATCAGCACCACCCACTAACCAACTGAACTAACTGGCCAGACCCACTTAACTTCTTAATGAATACTGTCAACCATATGATTAATCAGAAAATAAATAATACATTTTCAATAACAATAACATTTAAGCGATATGGTTAATCTTTAACTGCATGCAATTTAATTTTGCTGTTTTATTTTGGATGTAATATGTATGAATTTATTTACAGCATTCACATTGTTTAAGTGTAATTTATCTTGGGATTAAGACACTTGTTAAGACTATTAATTTAGTAGTGCCAGTAGACTTTGGAAATGATTACAACAAAATATCATAATCTGAAAGCTTTTGCAGACCTTTGAAAAAAAATTACTCGAATTTTATGTATATATATGATTATCTATGTTATACTTCTCTAATATCTGAGACAATTTCTCAACCCATTTTTGCACTACAAAGTTTTGTGATCTAAATTAAATTTATTTATGGTAGCATTAATTTGTTTTTAAATTTTTTAAAAAAATTGAAATCCTGCTGTTATTGTTTATACACAATAATATCTATACAAATTTAATAAATATGTTTATGTAGTTATAAAGCTTTATATCTTATAAGCAGGAATTTTAAGAATTTTGAGTGAGTGTCAAGAATCATTCATGCTTATAAAATTTGTTCTTAAAAATAATTTCATTGAATAATAGAAAATTATGTCAACATTATATATGTAAACTTAGCAACAATAAAATAGGTAAAATGCAAATATTGCTTCTTGTCATTTTACTTATTTTATTTTTTTAAAAATCTCCTAGAAAGTTTCAAATTTTACACATATGCATTCAAATATGTTAGATTTATATACATATATATATAATCTCTATGGTAGAATATTACAAAATAGCAATTTTCAGCACCTTTTACCCCTATGAAACAATCGTCCCTCTCTTAATATGTTTACGAAGCCTAAGTTTGTCAAAACTGTTATTACTTCTTGAAATCCCAGGCAAAATAAAAAAAGATAGACTAAAGGAGAACTATTGGGATTAATTTCAAGCCTGCAGAAGTCTTCGGGAAGACTTTTGGAACGAAGCCTAAGTTTGTCAAAACTGTTATTACTTCTTGAAATCCCAGGCAAAATAAAAAAAGACTAAAGGAGAACTATTGGGATTAATTTCAAGCCTGCAGAAGTCTTCGGGAAGACTTTTGGAATTTTTTTTTAAATGCATTTATTTATTTAGATAATGGTTATTTATTAAGCACCTACTACGTGCTAGTATTATACCACATGCTAGGTATATAATATGACCAATTTGTAGACTGATTTATAGAAATTCCCAGCCCTCAATGAGATCAGTTTAATGTGAGACTCAGACCAAAAAAAAAAAAAATCATACTGTGTGATGACAGGTGAGACAGAATGTGCCAGAAGAGTTTTATTTAGACTTCCAGGGTTGGTATTTGGCTCATGGAGATGTTAGGAAGGGTTTTTTTTGTTTTTGTTTTTTTTTTT